TTTAATATTTAGTTTTTGAATTCCAGTGGTATAGTCACTTGAACCAACCTGGGCCTTGGGTTCCCTATGTTGGGCACTCTGTGAAGAAAGTAAATCCTATTTTTTAGTTGCACACATGAATGGTACATAAAAAATAAACATAATATGACACAAAGCAGTACATCCAAACACTATGTGTGGTGTATAAGCAGAGTTTAAAGTTATTTTTCTTGCTAATTCCATCCAGCTGCCTTTACAGATAACTCTTGTAAACAGCTTCATATGGTTATCTTTCAGGCTTTCCCCTCGTTCTTAAATATCATCTTTCTACAACTGTGAGTAAATGATATCATAATGTTATTGTTCTACATTTACCAAGAAAATAACGAGGGCATCTTTCAAAATCTGTAATACGTCTACCCAATTCATTTGAATAGATGCTCAGAAGAAATATCTGGTACCCCCTCCCATTTCTTTCCTCTTTTACAAATTTGCTGAGTGAGAATCCTCTGCATGTCTGTTCCCTATATGCAGTGGATGAGGCTCCTAGAAGTGGGAATGTATGGTGTGGCGCTGGAAAGAATCTAGGTGTAGGAGTATCCTGGATGGAGACATAGTGGATGATGACGGGCAAGGTCACAGGAGGGCAGAACCTGTGGGTGGAAGGTACCAGTCTGTGAAATGCAACCATGAGAAAGGGAGGCCAGGGAGTTGGCTGGAGAGCAGGTCGGGCATGAGGGACAACAGGGATCGTGAAAGTCTGGAGGAAATGCCACCCAGGGAGAGCAGGAAGACAGAATGAATAAAAGCTGGTCGGGAGGGAGATTATCCAGGACAGCTCACCAGCAAGGTCTCTGCGGGCGAGGGAGAAAGGAGAAGTAATCATGACATATGGAGTCCACACTGGGTGATGAGGTGGGTGCAGTCATTTGATTTCATAACTTTTAGAGAATTGATTCCCTCCTTTTCAAAAACTGTGTCATATATTCAGAATTATGCGTATATAACAATAGTTCAGGTCACTACCTGGCAATAGAAGGTGAGGGCCGCCCATGAATACTTGTAGCAATTCAACAAGTGCGGCGGATGGTGTGTCAAGAGAGAAGTGGAGTCGTGATGGAGAACGTGTGGAGCTACAAGACCTGGGGAACCCACCTCAACGAGGAGGTAGGAGAAGAGACTCAAATCTACCTGAGAAGGTGAGGGAGCCCTGCTCTCCTCTGTCATTCTAATAGTTTGGCTACAATCACAACTGATTTCCACTTCTGCTTTAGTATCAAGATGGCAAGGTAGGAGGCAGGGTGGGAAGGTGGACTTCCAGTCCAAAGTGAAGGTGGGTGGGAAGATATTCATGACATAGAAGAAATGCCATTTTCTCTGTCCTTTACCCTGATGCTTTCTTCACTTCCTTATACTCCCTGTTCTTCCTCACTTACTAAAAATCATGGGTCATCATTATCACCATCACAATCCATCCCATGTTCTCCTCAAGGGTTAGTCCCCACACCTCACTAACCCTACCTCCATGGAATCCACCGTGCTGCTCCCTCCCCCGAGTCCCCAGCTGACTGTGGCTGCAGGTGCACGTGGCCATGCTG